ATTTGTTTGCTTTGCTCACCGAATATGAATTCCAATTATTTGTGTTTCTCACCAGAAAGCTTTGGAGAGAAATGATGCTGGAGAGCATTTTCCAGTTTATGGCATTTGTCTCGGATTCGAGCTTATGTCAATTATCATCAGTCAGGTGACTCTCTTCTTCTTTCCTTAAGTACAAACTCTCAGTCAGGTGACATTCTAAAATCTCTCAAATCCTTTGTCATTGGTAACAGAACAGAGACATTCTTGAAAGATTTGATGCAGAGGATAATGCATCAACCCTACAGTTTGTTGATAATGTTAATATCGATGGAACATTATTCCAAAGGTGCATAGCTTTTTCATGATCCTTTTCGTTTTTCAGTTTATAATGATCTCAACTATTCCCAATATATAAATGTAATGTTTTCGTATTTCCAGATTTCCTCCAGAGCTGTTGAAAAAACTCAGTACAGATTGTTTGGTTATGCAGAAACACAAGGTTAGTAATGCCACCTCTAGTTTTCTGCAGAATATGGAGTTCAATTGTCAAAGCTAACGTATTAAAGAGAGCAATTTGACACTAAGACTGCTTTGGTTGTTTCTCTCTCCCTATTGTTTTGTTTACCTCTGTGGTTAGGCAATTTTTGATTGCCATGTCTAAACAGTTATTTATAGGCTCATTTTTATATGCTTGCTGAATGCTGATACGGATTGTTGTTATATCCCAGTATGGTATCACACCAGCAAACTTTCAAGGCAATCCTGCTTTGTCTAGTTTCTTTGAAATCCTCACAACCTGCATAGATGAAAACAGCAAGGTAATAATATTCCTATAAACCATGAGAGTACTCTATGAATTTCAGAATCTGACTTGCGAACGGATGTAATTATATTTCGTTTGCAGACTTATGTTTCAACTGTTAAAGCAAAGAGATACCCAATAACTGGCTTCCAGTGGCATCCTGAGGTATACTGGCCAATTAAACTCATGTTTCTAATCCTATTTTCTCAGTGCACAGTTTTGATTTTTAGAAAAGAAACAAAGCTCTTATTGCACTTAACTAACTCTCTGTAGAAAAATGCATTTGAATGGGGATCATCCGCGATTCCACACTCTGAGGATGCAATCCAGGTGACACAGCATGCTGCTAGTTATTTAGTCAGGTAAGATCTCTCTCTCATCTCAACGTTTTCACAGTTTCTCCAACACATTTAGTGCGCACTTGTTTTTCTCATGGATTGCGGGTTGAATGCGCTGCAGTGAAGCTAGGAAGTCACTGAACAGACCACCATCAAAGAAAGTGCTAAGCAATCTCATATACAACTATAAGCCTACTTACTGTGGATACGCAGGGTAAAGCCACTCAGGACAATCTTTACACAAGTCTCTTGTTTTTGTTGTTGACGATTTCCTAACGATGTTCTTTGGATCATATCATCTTGCAGGAGGGGTTACGACGAGGTTTACATTTTCACACAACCAAGATCCCGTTTCTGAGGACTTACTCGTCTTCTTGTGTGTTTGTTTGTAACTCTGATTTCTAGTTTCAATGTAGGGAGCCGATTGTTTTGCTTGCCTGCATGATTTCCCTGGTTGATTTATCTCTTTGAAAGTAGATCCTTTCAAAAGAAATATAATTGTGTTTGGTTCGTGTTTTTAGCAAATAAACATTTGACTTTTGAGATTGATTACCGGTAAATCCGTAACTTTGAATGAGTGAGTAATAATGGCCCCTGACTAACGGTAACGGGCTCACTAAAAGCCCAATAGGGAATAATTAAATTATATAGATAAATACAAATTTAAAATAATTGGAATCACACGTTTTTTTTTTTTTCTAAAAAAAATTTAAATGATGGTGGACGTTGGTCGTCGGGGATGAAGAATGATTGATATGAAATCAAACAATGGGATAAATCCACCATTGGAGACGTGCATCTTCATCCTCTGAGATGTGGAGATTCTACTTCTGCTTACCGTTCCTACTCTTTGATATTAGCGCGGCGACTTCTGCCGAATCGATTTTCCTCCCAAGTCAAATCCGAGTTGACTCTTCCCGCGTCTTTGATACACGGAGTAGTCATGTATGCTCCTCCCCGGATCCGAACCTCAACTACAAGCCGGTCATTGGGATTCTGACCCACCCTGGCGAAGGTCGATGGGACGCTGGTCGTCACTCTCTGAGCTACGCCTACTCGACGAACATATCGTACATCGCAGCTTCGTATGTGAAGTTAGCTGAGACTGGTGGAGCTCGTGTGATTCCTCTTATCTACAACGAGCCTGAAGAACTCTTGTTTCAAGTTACTAATCACTAATCTTACAATTACTTGTTCTACCTTGTATTTGGCTACACTTATTACAATCTTATTGTTTTGGCTATAGCTTGCCAAAATTAGTCCATTATTTTCATCTCAGTAGAATTCATTTGGGAATTGCAGAAGCTAGAACTGGTGAATGGTGTGATATTCACTGGTGGTTGGGCTAAAACAGGATTATATTACGATATAGTGGAGAAAATCTTCAATGTAAGTTCTCATTATTCAAACACTATCCGTTGCTTTCATTTCATGTGTTAGCTGAGCATATGTTTTCGTTGACCTATTGCTTGTGTTGTACAATAGAAAACAATGTAATAACTCTTTTTGAAATCCTGATGTTTCTGACAGAAAGTTTTGGAGAAGAACGATGCTGGAGAACATTTTCCGGTGTATGCCATGTGTCTTGGATTCGAGATTTTGTCAATGATCATAAGTCAGGTCACTCTTTTGCCTTCTTGCTTCTTAGAGCAACTCCCACATATGTAGAGTTATAAATTTAAGTTGCTCACACTGCTTAATATTTAGAGGAGCTTTAAGCTACGCAAGCTCAATCTTGAGCTGAGAGGGATATGCAGTTTCCATCCTAAATTTCTGACGATTTTGTGTTTTGTAACAGAACAGAGACATTCTTGAAAGGTTTAACTCAGTAAACTATGCATCAAGTCTCCAGTTTTTTGAAAATGTTAATATTGAAGCAACCGTGTTCCAAAGGTACATATAGCTATGCTTTTAGCTTTTCAGTGATCCAAAGAACAATATATAATTGTAATGTTTCATATTTGCAGATTTCCTCCAGAGCTGTTGAAAAAGCTTAGTACAGACTGTTTGGTTATGCAAAACCACTATGTTAGTATCTCACAAGCCCTCTAATTTTCTGCAGAATATGAATATAGTTCTCACCTTTTTGTTGCTCTTAAGTATGCTTTGATTGCTGTTTTCTTCTTAGAGTTTCTTACCTACACAGTTAGACAAAAAAAAATTGCATTTCCTTGCTCTTGAATGATTATATATTCTCTCTGTAGTTCTGAAATGAAATGTTATCGTTTCTCAGTTTGGTATCTCACCAGACAACTTTCAAGGCAAGCCTTCTCTGTCTAGTTTCTTCAATATCCTCACAACCAGCGCTGATAAAGACAGCAAGGTATAATTCAATATGTTCCTATAAACTATAATGATTTATACAAATTCCACAAGCTGACAGTTTCAATGAACGGATCTATTAATCTTCTTCTTTCCAGACTTTTGTTTCAACTATTCGATCAAAAGGATACCCTGTGACCGCCTTCCAGTGGCATCCAGAGGTATTACACACAAGTTAATTTGTGTCTTTCATTAGTCTTCTCAATCCTTAGTTAACTTCTGTCTTTCGTTAGTCTTCTCAATCCTTAGTTAACTTATCTTTCACTGTGCTATATTGCTTTATAATGGATATATTTTTCTAAAAAAGATCCCTACAAAGTTACAATATTACTCTTCAGAAAAATGCATTCGAATGGGGATCATCCGAAATCCCACACTCTGAGGACGCAATTCAGGTGACTCAGTATGCTGCAAATTATCTAGTCAGGTTAGTTCTCTATTGATCAATGTAGGAAGATTCAGTAAAAGACTTATGTAGTGGTTTAATTTTCTTATTTGAATTTTGGTGTAGTGAAGCTAGAAAGTCAATGAACAGACCATCTTCTGAGAAAGTGCTGAGCAATCTCATCTACAATTACAAGCCTACATACTCCGGATACAAAGGGTAAAACCAAAAAAAAGCCACTCCAATCCTTACATTTTTGCTGTATGTTAAAAGTTAAAACAAATATTGGATCATATATGATCTATCTCAATGATTTTTTTGCAGGAGCGGTGACGACGAGGTTTACATTTTCATGTAATAAAGATCCATTTATACTAAGAACATGTATATTGTTTCTCCTTATTCACCATTGATTGTAATTTGTAACCAAGGTGGTGAACAAAACAACTGTTAAATTTGGGCTAATTCTGGGCTTCCAACTAAAAACCAATTGGCAATTAGTGGATTGGCCTTAACCCTTTATATATTATTGATTGTCCCATCAAACTTCCGATGTGGGACTTGGATTGTATCTCCAACAATCTCCCCTTCAATCTAAGGACCACATGGATCTTAACACACCTCCTCGATCCCTCACTCGGACCGATAATAAGCCCCTTTCTCGGGCCCCCATTACTCGGGTTTGAGGTATGTCCGTATCCACTTTTCTAGGTCCACCAGAATTTGAACCTTGGGCTCTGATACCATGTTAAATTTGGGCTAATTCTGGGCTTCCAACTAAAAACCAATTGGCAATTAGTGGATTGACCCTAATCCTTTATATATTATTGATTGTCCCATCAAACTTCCGATGTGGGACTTGGATTGTATCTCCAACAACAACGATCTAATAAAGCAAAGTATAAATCACTTTGAGAACGTATATTTGGCAATTTCGTCAGCACATTGTTCCCATCTCTTCCTTTAAACCTAAAGATCCCATTTTTAAGATCAAGTTTTATGGGTTTGCTTGTAATAATTAAAAAAAACATGAATTTGGCCAGACACAAAAAAAAGGTACTTACTACCTTGTCTGTTTCGAAAACTCATTTAATATATTGTGAGATCAAACTAATTTACTCATGTGTTATCAACAATAACAATCGTACTGGGTGACTAAATACAATAATGAGACGCACAATATCAAATTGGGCCCTCCTCCATTGAGTGATACGAACGAAAGTCGCTTTACAAAAACACCTAAAATAAAATAATGTCAAAAAATCCATGACCACGTGGACGGTGGAGATTAGTTTCTCGATTTGTATAAGAACGTTGAACGGACAGAGATATTTTCGAAGTGTGAAGACATGAAAAACCCAAAATCGTGAAAATTCATATCTCCTCCTCCATTGATCATTCCTCTTCCTCTGAGATGTGGAGCTTTGCCTGGTTAGTACCGTTGGTACTATCTCTGCTTAAGGATAGCATCATAATGGCCAAGTCTGCGGCGATTCTCCTCCCTAGTCAAACCGGATTTGATATTTCTCGGAGTCCGGTATGCTCCGCGCCGGATCCGAACCTCAATTACAGGCCGGTTATTGGGATTCTGAGCCATCCTGGTGACGGTGCGTCGGGTCGTTTGAGCAATGCTACAGACGCGTCGTCCATTGCGGCTTCGTATGTGAAATTAGCTGAGTCTGGTGGAGCACGTGTGATCCCACTCATCTATAACGATCCTGAAGAAATTCTCTTTCAGGTTACTCTTATTTAGCTCAGTCGATTCTGGATTCTCTTCTAAATTAATCGAGTTTTAGATCTTGTTAAGTTTGTTTTAGCATAAGAATTTGATTTACGTGTTGGAACCGCAGAAGCTAGAATTGGTCAACGGTGTGATACTCACTGGTGGTTGGGCTAAAGAAGGATTGTATTTTGAAATCGTCAAGAAAATCTTCAATGTAAGCTGAAACGTTTTTTCTTGGTTGAATTGAACTACAATGATCTTACTCATATCTATATGATCCTCTCAGAAAGTTTTGGAAAGAAATGATGCTGGAGAGCATTTTCCTATATACGCTATTTGCCTCGGATTTGAGCTCTTGACAATGATCATAAGTCAGGTGACCCTTTGTTCTTGCTTCCCATATATGTTTGTTAAGCTATCTAGTTAAGTCCTACTGGATTTTGTGAAGTTTAACACCATCTGAATACTGGAATAATCTGTATAAATAACAAGTAAGAACCTTCCTTCATTTGTTCACGCTGTCTATTAGGCAAGCAGCGACACTGAAATTATCCATATACTATACTATATAGTATGTATTAGAGTTTGAAATATGCAAGCTCTGTTGAAAATCTTTAAAATGTGGCCTTGTAACAGAACAGAGACATTTTTGAAAAAATGGATGCAAGAAATTCTGCATCAAGTCTTCAGTTCCTTGAAAATGTTAATATCCAAGGAACCATTTTCCAAAGGTAAATGCAGCTTTTCATCATGTGTATATACTAATACCAAAAATATTAGTAAAATACTTCATATGCAATTTGTTATGTCTCATAATGCAGATTTCCTCCAGAACTGTTGAAAAAACTCGGTACAGATTGTTTAGTTATGCAGAACCATCGGGTTAGTATTTGCAACCTCTAATTTGTCTTTACAGTTATACTATGGAATATAGTTGTCACCATTTTTGTTGCTAAACATACTTATACATAGTTTTGTTGGCCTCTACAATTAAGCAACTTTTCTTGCACACTTCTTTTCTATCTTGTTCTTGAATGGTTATTATCCTCGGTTCTGTCTGCTTTCTGATATGAATTGTCATTATTTCCAGTTTGGTATCTCACCAGAAAGCTTTGAAGGCAATGTTGCTCTGTCCAGTTTCTTTAAAATCGTCACAACAAGCGTTGATAACAACAGCAAGGTATTTTTATGTCCCCAAGAATACCTAAAACGATTTCAGAGCCTGACCTTATAGAACATATCTATTTATATATATTTCCAGGTTTATGTTTCAACAGTTCAATCAAAAAAATATCCAGTGACCGGCTTCCAGTGGCATCCCGAGGTATATATACACTCACTAATTAACTTACGTCTCTCATTTAGTCTTTTCACGCCTAGGGAATATCTTACCATCTCTGTGCAATATTCTGCAGAAAAATGCATTCGAGTGGGGATCATCCAAAATTCCACACTCTGAGGACGCGATCCAGGTGACTCAGCACGCAGCAAATCATCTAGTCAGGTTAATTCTCTATTCATTGTTTTGTAAGAATTGATAGGATAGTGCATCAACTCTGATTGCTACATTAGTAGAGTAGAACATTAGAATCAGTATAACTGAGAGTTGGTTAGATAATGAAGTAGTCATTTCTCACGGATAGGTAAGAACACTCGTAATTTTTGTAGCAAAATCTCATGGATTGAGTTCAAATGTGGTGCAGTGAAGCTAGGAAGTCACTGAACAGGCCGGACTCTAAGAAAGTGCTGAGTTATCTCATTTATAACTACAAGCCTACCTACTGTGGATACGCAGGGTATAGCCACTCGGACAATCTTTACATAATTCTTTCCTCTTCTTCTCCTTTTTTTTTTTTTTTTTTTTTTTACTGTAAGTCTTAACGATTCTTTGGATCGAATAAAATGGTGGATTTTGCAGGAATGGTTACGACGAGGTTTACATCTTCACACAACAACGATCCCTTCTCTAATAACTTCAACCTCTCGTGTGTATAGTGAATATGCATCTTCAACTCTGTTATTATCTGTGAACTTGTTGTAACTTTGAACGTCAGCCTATGGCTTGTGTTCGACATTAAATTAGAAAATGTATGCCTTTCTATCTTTAGTCTATTCATAGAAAAATAAAAATAAAAACTCATATATGTTTACTCAGTATTAGTAAGATAAAAAATCTATGTTTTGTTACATAAAACTTTTGTTATTTAATACTCCCTCCGTTTCGGATTAGTTGTCGTTTTACGATTTAAATTTTGTTTCATAATAGTTGTCGTTTTAGGTTTTCAATGCAAATGTTTGATGAAAATTCCAGTTTTATCCATACCGTTTTAATGTTTTGGCCAATGAAATTTTTATAAAATATATTAATAAAGGGTAAAACAAAAAATTTAATGATTTTCTTAATTTGTGTGAAAAAACCTTAAACGACAACTAAAACGAAACAGAGGGAGTATAGAAGATGTGACCAGTCTGTTTCATCTTTCAAGACATTTTATAAGATTCGAGTTCTGTTTTTTTCATACAACTGGTAAGCTATTCTTCTAGAATTTACAGTTTCTTTAACCTAAAATGATCATTACAGGAAAATATATTTGTAGGGCTTAGTTAGATGTTTAATATATGCAATCCCAATGGCCTGATAACAAATTGAATGGTCTTCATTGCCAACCGACAAATTGAATGGTCTTCATTTCTTTAGTTGTTACATAATCATTATACAAGAAAATATATTTGTAGGGCTTAGCTACATGTTTAATATATTGGCCCATAATATCTATATGTTGGGCTCAACAGAATCCCAATGGCCTGATAACAAATTGAATGGTCTTCATTGCCAACCGACAATGTAAAACTCTAACTAGGAAAACTTCCCGGTTTATTCCTTAACCGAAATATACGAGCCAAATTCGAGTGTTCAGCTTCATCGCTTTGCACTGTGTTGTTCTCTCTCCCAATGAATTCCTCCCAAGCAAGCTTCTTCGATTTCCCTCTAACACCAATCGTCTGGTCTCGTTTCTAATCGTAAGTCTTCTTCCTTCTCTATGTTTTGTTTCGGTGTCAATGTAGATCGTCTTAGGAGGAATCAAGTAAAAGAAATTGATAAACCCTAATTGTTCCGTTCTATCGTTAAAACTTTCCTAGATTAGTCTAAATTAGGAAAATAAGTCTATCTATGAAACCTTTGCATCGAATTTTGTCTCAGATATCAGAACCGGCCCTGTATGATTTGTCGTAGCTTGAGCTTCTGTTATGATTTGTTGAAGGGAGGGAACTTTGAAGCTTGCATTTCTTGGGAATAGACATAAATGGGGAGGGTAATGGATTGGGCAGCAAGATCTGATCATTTGGGAGGACTTCCAAGGAAAACTGTGATAATGGCTGTTAGTGCATTTGCAAAAGCGGTAGCGAATCTTTGTAACAAAAGCTCAGTTCACAATGCAGATACTCTTATGAATCTTGTCCGGTCAAGACCACCGGGTGTTCCTCTCATCACTGTTAGTAATCACATGTCGACGTTAGTTAATATTAAAACCTCACTAATATGATCCTTTCTTGATGTCATCGCTTTCCACTCATTTGTATTTTGATGTTGTTTTATCTTCTTTGTTGTAATCAGTTTGGATGATCCAGTTATGTGGGGGGCATTCAAGGGTCTCCTTTCCTTAGATCCAGAATTGGCTCGGTGGGTTCTTGCTGCGGAGGACATATGTTTCAGGAACCCTATCTTCTCCTACATTTTCCGCACTGGTATGTCACATTTTTTCTTTGCTGCTTCTTCTCTAGGGAAAGACTGTAATCTGTGTATTATTCTTGTTTTGTATTGATTAGGCTTATGTCGGAAGGACGACAACTTTTTTAGTTGATTTGGTGGATTGCCTTCTTAACAAAATAGGATTTACTCGTGACGAATGTTAATGATTTCTTTTGAGCAGGAAAATGCATACCTATAACCAGAGGTGGTGGAATCTACCAAGAACACATGAATGAAGCTCTCCAGCGATTCAAAGATGGATCTTGGGTAAGTTATCTTGCACATTTAAACAAATTCTGAGGTTTTTTGGGTCCTTTTCTGACCTCTAACCTTTGGATTTAACCATGACTAGTAGCTGCATACCTTTCCAGAGGGAAAGGTGTTTCAAGAAGATGTTCCTATAAGACGACTAAAATGGGGAACTGCAAGCCTCATCGCCCGTTGCCCAGTTACCCCAATCGTCTTGCCAATAATTCACCGTGGTTTTGAGGAGGTAACTAGTCCAGGTTCCTTCTAAGTCTGCTTAACTCATTCGTTTAAATTCGAATTTCATATGCTACACGATCTTACTGCAGTCTATAGCTAATGCGTGCATGAAAGAGCATCCGCCGTGAATTATGCATCCATTTTCCAAAATTCGAGTTTCTCTACTAGATAGCATTATTTTTTCATTCGAAGGTCACTTACCCACATTGTTGTGACGACTTAGATGTTGCCGGAGAACTACAACAATGGACGAAGACCACTGGTACCACTGTGCAATAAAGACCTTAAAGTTGTGGTTGGTGAACCACCTGAGTTTGATGTTCCCATGATGGTTGAGACTGCTGTCTTGCTCCCGCCATGTAACCCTCCTCTTCAAGATTCCAACTGGCCTGTCCTCACTTCTGCTGGCAAGAGCTAGACGAAACTGCTCAGAGATGCCTCTTCATAGCTCTTTCCGAGAAAATCCAATCCTCCTTGGAAACATTGAGACTCTTAGCCAAGCGGTTGTGACCTCCGCCGGGAAACTTCAAATCAGAATCCGGTTCATAATTTTTTAAGTTCCGGTTAAGATCCGCAATGGTAATCAAATATTATCTTTTTTTTTAATTTTCTGAAGCTGATAAAAAATTATATAAGTATGATAATTAAATAACTCGCATTTTAAATTATTTTATCGACTAGGATATATAGCAACCCGCAATAATGAATGTTATATCTTATCAATATCTTTTTTTTTTTTGGTAGGCGGGTAGGAGACATTGTCTCCTACGATTTATTCAAAAACACTAAAAAAAATTACAACCGAACATTACGTGGAACTGCAACTCCACTAATAATCAATATCTTATCATTATAGCCAGAATTCAGTAAAAACTAAATTAGCGACAATAATCGAATATAAAGCATCAACAAAAAATTTGACATTTGTGTGTGTTGATATCTCTGTGTTAATATAAAAATAAGTAAAAATACATTTGTATAAGACCGTTATTTGTGTGTGTTCTGGAACGCCGATGATCTGGCCAGTTCTGTCTTTCTGCTGATGATGTTCGACAGAAACAGCATTAAACGACCAGTTTGAACAGAGAGAGAAGGTTCTGATAAGAGAGACAACGTGGGTGGCAAACATACGCGGCGGCCACGTGAGCCTATCGAGCCACCGGTGCGGCAAGTGGTGCTTACGCGAATGCAAAAAATCAGTTAACGGGCCCTACAGGGTCACGCCGGGGACGCACTATCACGTGAAAAGGAAACTTCCAAGGTCAGCCAAAACGGTCTCGTGGCATTTTCGTAAATCGGTTCACGTTTTAGGGGTATACACTAGCTCTTGCACGTGGTAATGGTGTTCGTTGTGTGGCAAAATTGGTAAATTAAAGCCGAATCGCGGGGCAATGGTATATGCTCCCACGTGCTAGGTCCGGAGGACATGCGTGACCTCATGTAGTGATCG